TCGTACACACCATCACATACATCAAGCTAACTACTACACTGATATATGGGATCTTCGACATATAATCTCTGTCCTCAACTGAAACAGGTGACATCAATGCTGAAAGCTTGAAGTGGGGAGCCAATGGTGTGCTAACTGCTTTTGTATTGCCATCAAAGCTGAATTTCTTCAACATCTTCTGCAAGTAGCTCTTCTGTGTAAGTTTCAAACTCCCTTTCACCTTGTCTCTCTCGATCTCCATACCTAATTTTTTCTTTGCCCCTCCAAGATCCTTCATCTCGAACTCGGATGATAGCTCCTCTTTCAACTTTCGAACAGCCGAAGAATTCTTGGAAGCAATAAGCATATCGTCAACATATAAAAGCAAATATATGTACTCACCACCCTGTAGCTTGTGTATATAAACACATGGGTCATATGAGCTCCTCGTGTACCCATGGCCAATCATAAAGCTGTCGAATCTCTTATACCACTGTCTTGGTGACTGCTTCAAACCATAAAGAGACTTCTTCAGCTTACAAACCAAGTCTTCCTTTCCTGCAACTTTGAATCCTAAGGGTTGTGTCATGTAGATCTCCTCATCTAGATCACTGTGTAGAAAGGCTGTCTTTACATCCATCTGGACCAAATCTAAATCTAACTATGCCACCAACGCTAATAAAATCTGTATCGACGAATACTTCACAACAGGTAAAAATACCTCGTTGTAGTTAATGCCCTCAAGCTGTGCATATCCCTTGGCAACCAATCTGGCTTTGATCTGAATGTCCCCAATAGAAGATCCCTCCTTCTTCGCATATACCCACTTGCAACCTATAACTCTCTTACCCTTAGGTAGATGTGCAAGTGTCCAAGTACCGTTCTTCTGAAGAGACCGCATCTCCTCCTCCATAGCTCCCCTCCACCTGATCGAATCGGGGCTAGACTCTACCTCCCTGAATGTGGATGAAACCATATCATCAACGACCTCCACTGATAATACATATGCGACCATGACATTATTATACCTAGCTGGCCGACGAATTACTCTCCTCGGTCTATCTGCTGCAATGGACCCATGAACATGACCCTGTTCCTGAGTCCCATAATCCACTGTATCCTCTATCTGCCCAGCTGTCATCTCATCTCCTCCCAGTGTCATCTCTGTAGGAGCATTGATGGATACAATGCTCTTTGGAGTGGGTGGAGTCACATCATCCTCCACCTGCTGCGATATCTCTCTTGTCTGGTCTCCCTCCACCTGCTGAGGGACTCGAGGCCTCATCATGTACGCCTCATCAAATGTGATATCTCTGCTAATAACTATCTTCTTGTCCCGTGGATCCTATAACTTGAAGTCTTTGAATCCATCTATAAATCCCACAAAGACAGCTTTCCTCGCCCTCGGATTTAATTTACCATCACTGATATGATAATAAGTTGGACACCCAAATATCCGAAGCGACTCATAGTCACTAGCCACCGAACCAAACCAATGCTCCAAAGGAGTCTTCCCGTCTATCGCAGTGCACGACAACCTATTCACGAGATGGCTCGCATAAACCAACGCCTCGGTCTAAAAGGATCTAGGCAATCCACTCTGTGTCATCATACATCGCACCTTCTCCAGCAAGGTACGATTCAATCTCTTGGTCACCCCGTTTTGTTGTAGTGTCTCTCGAACTATGAAGTGTCTTCTAATGCCGTGATCCCGGCAAAACTGCAGAAATGGATCACTCTTGTACTCTCTACCGTTATCTGAACGTAGAGTCTTCACCCTTCTACCTGTCTGCAGCTCCACTTTCTTCTTCCACTCCACAAAAATATCCAGGACCTAATGTTTATGCTTCATAGGGTAATACCCAATTCCTCCTGGAATAGTCATCAATGAAAGTAACAAAGTAGTTGGTCCCACCAAGAGATGTGTTCTTGAAAGGACCTCAAACATCTGTGTGAATGTAATCCAATGTACCTCGGGTGTTGTGAACAGCGGTGCTAAACTTCACTCTAGTCTTCTTCCTGAGTACGCAATGCTCACACAGCTCCATCTCGCAGGTCTTAGCACATTTTAATAGCCCCTGTTTCGCCAATGGCTGTAGGAACTTATCTCCTATGTGTCCAAGTCTCATGTGTCATAAAGTGGTAGTGTCCTCCTCTGTAGTGATAGAAGCTGTCAGACCCCATGTAATTGTCTTGCCCTTCAAGTAGTATAGGTTGTTTTCCCTAACACCTCGCATCACCATCATAGAGCCCTTCGTGACCTTCACTGTAGCATCCTCTAAGATCACTCGATATCCTGTTGCCTCCAAAATCCCAAGAGAAATGATGTTCTTCGTTAACTACGGCACGAACCTCACTTCCTTCAACTCCCTCACTATACCGTCAAGCATCCTAATCCGGACTGAACCAATACCATCAATAGGGCATACGTGGTCATTACCCATAAGCACGACATCCCCTCTTTCTAGCTCCTCAAAGCTAGAGAACTACTCCCTCTTAGGGCAGATGTGATATGTAGCTCCCGAATCTATCATCCACTCCGTGGAATCCGCATAGCAAACCGACAGTAATGCAGGGTATGAATAGCCTGAAGAATCTGAATCTGAATGCTCACGAATAGCTTTTACAATATTCACTTCTGAAGCTTGTGCAGCTTTCCCTTTATTCTTCCCAGCTTTTTCTTTCCACTTTGGGCAGTCAATCTTCCAATGTCATTCTTCTTTACAATACGGACATTGATTTCTACCAACACTCTTATAGGCACTCCTATTTTTTGACTTTGAGCGGTTGAACTGGCGACGGTTTGAATCACGGCCTCGAACAGCTAATGCATCTCCTGATGCTTTCTCGGAGGGTTCACCATCACTCATCCTCAACTCATAATTCACCAAAGCTGAGGTCACCTCCTTATAGCTAACTGTAGTTCTTCCATTGATCATAGTGAGAACGAACGTACCATAATCATCCTTGGGCAACGAACATAGAAGTAACATCGCCTTGTCTTCATCCTCAACTATGATGTCTACATTGACCATATCTGAAAGTAGCTTAGTGAAATTGTTGACAAGCTCCCTAATGGAAACTCTCCTCTTCATCTTGAACTGGTAAAACCTCTTCTTCAAGTGAATCTGATTCTCAATTGACTTCTCATTGAGTGTTTTTCACATCTTCTTCGCCGACGTCTCGTTCATAATATCATAAATAAGATCCGGGGTCAAGTATGATCTAATAACACCACAAGCTCTACTGTTCATCTTCCTTCAAACCTTGTCCTCCATGTCAGTGGGTTTTTCTTTTAACTCAAGAGTCTCCTCTAAATTCTGTGTATCCAAGGCGTCCATCACCTGACACCTTCACAATCCGAAATTAATCTTTTTGTCAAACTTTGAAACATCAATCTTCGTGTTATTGATGCTCAGACTCTATATCACCTTCGTAAGAGACGAACCTGATGTGCTTGCATCTCCCATGTTATCGATCTAACTCTTCAGATAGGAATCTTCACCGAATCCTTCGGACGAGCCAGAAGCTCTGATACTAATTGTTGTGTGCGGCGGAAGCTTCGAGGAGCGACACAAACAATCCAATAGATAAATCACAACCAATAAGCAAATCATAACCACAGCAAGAACAAACGATTTACGTTGTTCGGCAAGTTGCCTACGTCCACGGGGCAAGGAGGAGGGGAGTTCTTACTATTAGAAATCAAGAGAATACAAATAGAGTTACAAATCTCACCGATCAAACCCTAAAACAAAGCTCTAGATCTCTCACAAATCTCCCACAATTAGATGCAACAATCCTCTCCAAAAGACTGCTCAAAATCGTCCTTGTTTAACCCTAATTAATTAGGTTTATGGTTATATATTAACTCAGAAACGAACCGGGTCAAAAACTAAGCCCAGCCCAAAATCAGTCTGCGGTCGACCACGTCGGTCGACCGCGCAGGTCTCGCGGTCGACCACGGCGGTCGACCGAACCAAAAACCCGAGAGCAGAATCGATTACAGTCATGGCGTGGTC